GAAGTGCTCGTCGCCGCTCAGCGCGTAGCTCTGCAGGGAATTCACACCCACGTCCGGGTCATGAGCTCTCCTCAAGGCATACCGCATTCCAATAGCTGCCATCTCGTTAATTGTGAGTTCAATTTCTGCCTCTCCAAAGCTGGGTGCGTTGTCATTAATGTCCGTTATTTCCACTTCGATTGCGTAAACCTTCATCTCGCCCTCCACGATCAGCTCGCAGCGCAGCACGCATTTCTCCTGCAAACGGCACAGCTGCTCCCTGTCGATCCTCTCAGCCGTCACCAAGTGGCCGCTGCTCGCATGCAGAGCGAAATACTGCGTCCTGCCTTGGGACACCACTCGGGCGCCGCCCCCGCCGAGCGCCGCCGGCTCCAGCGCCAGCTCCTCGGCCACGTCGCCCACGAACGAGCCCTTGGGCAGCTCCTCGGGCACCGAGTAGCGCAGCTGCCCCCACGCCGCCTCCCACGCCGCCAACAACACGCACCACAGCAGCGCCCGCTGCCTCCGGCACCACCGCCCTTCTCTCGCCGCGCACATCTCCCGCACGGACCCGCCGCCACCTCACGATCGCTGCTTCTGCGTCGCTCCGACTTCTGATTCCTCTTCTCTCTTTCCTTCCTCTGCGGCTCCGCCTCGGCGTCCGCTGCCCCCCGCTCCCGCCGCCCCTCCGCCTCGCTGCAGCACCGCTCCGCACCAAGGGGCCGCTCGCAGCCGCCCGGACGCCGACACAGCCAGCGAGCGAGCGAGCGAGCCGGGCCGCAGCGGGCGGGGCTGCCTGCAGCGCTCCGCTCCTTCCTCTCCTCCGCGGTGAACAGCGGCGCCCGCAGCCGACGCCCGGCACTGCACGCACGGCTCCACCGAATAAGTGTAGAAGGGCTGGCATCGCGAGTTTCTTTTGCAGATTGTCTGAATTTGGCTTCCTGCTCTCGTTTTATTCGTGAAGGGGCTGGCACCGTCCTTTCTGTTCTTCAGCATGTTCAGGATCAGTGAGAATGGGAATGGCACCTCTTATCTGTTTTTCTCATGCATTTGATGTGAAATAGTTTTGAGTTCTTTCTCTTTATTGTAGAAGAGATTTTTTCAGCAGCAATTGACATTATTATTCCTTGTAGTCCTTTCTCAATGACATTTTCCTCCTCTTTCTTGCAGTGTACGATAGCCCAAGTGCTACATGCACTTGTAGCTTGTTTTCATTTCCTGGTCAGTATCTTACATCTGGGATCCATCTTTCAGCATGAAAGTACCTCCCATACAATGCACCCTTTAGAAACAAGTTAGCAAAGCACTCTCCCTGTCCCCATGGTGCTGCTGTTAGGCAGCTGCCTGTTCACCCTTTCTGCACTCCTGCTACAGAGACAAACAAGGCATCATACTTTTGCTCTGTGTTAGCATCCGTGTCCAAGCACACCATTTTTGAATGGGAGATTTGGAATATATAACATTCTTCACAGTACAAAACGTGATTCAACACAGCGTTGAGACACATTTTAAGAATGACAGAAAGGTCTGTTTTCTAAGTTTCATCTGATCTGATCTGATCTGAACCAAGAGGACATCATTCAGTGAAAAAATGACCTATAACATGCAGATAGAGGATCTTTCCTCCTCATTGTCATTACTCTGAAAACTTAATAACTGTATGCTTCAGTACAAATTAGAGGATGACCTGCTGGGAAGGAGCTCTCAGGAAGACTTGGGTGTCCTGGTGGATAGCAGTGGGCCATGAGCAAGCGCTGTGCCCTTGTGGCACGAAGGCCAGTGGTATATTAGGGTGCATCAGGAACAGCGTGGCAAACAGGTTGGTAGAGGTGCTCCTCCCCCTCTATTCTGCCCTGGTGAGGTCACACAAGAAATACTGTGCCCAGTTCTGGCCTTATCAGAAAGAGACCAGCAGGAAGACACAAAGGCCATGTGTGGGGCATCTCCTGTACAAAGAAAAGCTGAAAGGGCTGCGACTGTTCAGTCTGGAGAAGAGAAGGCTGAGAGATGGTTTTGTCGTGGTTTTTGTATATCTCAAGTGTGCTGTTCATGTTTATGCAGCAAGGCTCTTTTGGGTGGTGTGTAGCAAATAGAACATGGAGAAGTGTGGAGAAGCTGGAACAAAGGAAATTTCATACGTACCCAAAGGAAACTTCTTCACCATCAGTGACAGCTCTGGAAGAGACTGTCCAGAGAGGTGGTGGAGTTTCCTCCTCTGGAGATATTGAAGACCCACCTGGATGCTTTCCTTTGCAACCTACTGTTGGCAACCTGCTTTAGCAGAGGGTTGGACTTAATGATCTGCTAAGGTTCCTTCCAACCCCTGCACTTCTGTGATTCCATGATAAAGGGCAATGAATGCCTGGTATCCACATCTTAAAAGCATCTTATGTACAACAGCACACTCATGGAGGCACAGCCTTAGATCACGACAAGAAGATTACTATCTGAAGCACAGCAGAAATGAAGGAACCATTAGTGCAAGCTCCTTGTCATAGGCCTCATTCTAAGACAAACATTTCTGAGAAATTTTGAGACATTCTTTTTCACCTCCTGCATCATTTCCTTCACACATAAAGATCTGTCTTCAGGTGTTTGGAGACCTTGAAAAGAGAAGGAAGGATTTCCTACAAAACAACAGTCACAATTCCAGCTGCAGCCTTCTTCAGAAATGATGAACATGAACCATGACCTCATGGAAACCAAGGCCTGAAAATGTAGTTCTGACCAGGTAGAAACTTTACATCACAACACAAGGAGATACTGATGTTTAAATGTGGTTTCACGCAGGAATTCTAAGCCGTTACAATAATAATATTCATAAGCCATTCATCCTTGTTCCACGTGCACAGTTCACATGCAAACAACTTATGATCAGGGAATTATCAGTGCCTCATAAAAGAAGACAACAGGGATTTGAGCAGAACTAGAGGCAAGGCATCAACTATGAAATCAAAGCATTGCCTGCCAAAACCACAGCAAGACAGCTATTCTCCGGGTACAAATTCACACCATCCCTCTCTGTACTCTGCATTCAAAGCCTTCAGTTGCACCACAGAAAGCACATTTGGCTATATCTAATCCACTGGCAAGAGCATTTCATTCAGTGGTATTTTAAGGAAAATTAAGTGTATCACAGTCTGTGCCTCAACATCTGTAAACGTTCAAGGCATCAATTTAAAAGGCTCCTCCAGGCCAGGCTATATTTTCCAGTCTTCTAAAGGATTATGTGCCACATCGAGGTCTGTCTTGAGATCTAAACCAGAAAGAAGGAAGAAATGAAACCTATACAAGTAACAGATTCAGAGATGAGCAGTGCTGATTATGCCACTTGGTACAAGCAGAATCAGAGTTGAGTTAGAAGGGATCCTTAAAGGTCATCTAGTCCCACTGCCCTGCAGTGAACAGGGACATCTGCAGCTCGATCAGGTTGCTCAGAGCCTGGTCCAACCTGACCTTGAATGTCTCCAAGGACAGGGCATCCTCCATGCCTCTGGGCATCCTGATCCAGTCCTTACTGTAAAAAACTTCTTGCTTATATCCAACCTCAATCTCCTCTTCTCTGGTCTGAAACTGTTTCCAAAAGTCCTGTCACAGCAGACCCCACTAGAAAGTCTGTCCCCTTCCATCCAATACAGAACAAAGACACGGTTGCCTTGTCCAAGACCTCAAAACACACACTATAGCCATAGTTCTTGAAAGTCATTTGGATAACAGAAGGAAAATACATAGATTCATAACATCAGGCCTAGATTCAAAGCCTGGGCAAACTGCATATCAACACCTACCTTCTATATATTTAAAACTAAACTGCAGTTTAAGGTTTTCACTTGCCCTAAGAATCTTCAGACCTCGCTGTGTGATTTGTCCTCCAAATACAAGAAAACAAATGGCTGTTGCCATAGCTACCAAAGACAAAGATTCCTCCATTCTCAATAAGCCAATATTAAACGTTTGGGAATCAGCCAAACATCTCCTCTTTCTTCCAAGAGCCCTGCAAACACAGAACCTTGCAGCCATTCTCAAATGCCCCCCAAATTGTATGATTCTCTTTGATCTTCAGACCAGACAAACGAACATCTCCAAAAGACCACCTGCCCAGCTGTTTCTCCATCACATTTCCAAAGACTGCAACACAGATGGATGCAAAGACATTTCTTTACTCAACACATGATCATGGAAAACCAAACTGTCTGTGTACAGTATAAAGTTAAACAAGGAGAAATTAATATTCCACTTGAATACAGTCTCATCAAACTCATCAAGAATACAAACTACTGGAACTACACAACAAGTGCAACAAAATTTAAACAATTAATTAAAACATGTTCTATGGAGCTAATCAGAAACGTGAAACTGAGATATGTCACCAAATCATTCTGTTTCCAAACAAAACCGCAGAAATTCAGTGAAATGGGGTAATTTTTTTAATTTCCTGCCATGGTTCTTAAAAATTAGCAGTAGGAAGGCCTAAGAAGAGCCTTGAGCCAGTCTACAAGATTTAATCACTGTTTCTAGATTATAATCTGACAAGATACTCCTTACTTAGCTTTTTTATTTACTATCTTCTCCATAGCCACCCAATAGTTGTTAGTTTTTCCATTCATGAAACTGCACTCGTATTTCCACAGGCTCTCCAATATAAAACGTCGGTTTCTTTCCAAAGTGATTCTGCACAATCACCTGAATATAAAAGGCAAGCGAAGAAGAGATCAGGAATCAGAAAGCTGACAGCAGTGGTGAGAAAAACACGGAGAAAGGGCTGCCCAGGGATATCGTACCGGGACACCATTGATCCACCACACTAATGATAGCACTTTATCACTTTTGATAGCAATTATCAAAACAATTAACCAACAGGTTTCCGACATCTCAGCCGACCTCAATGGAGTGACCACCCATTAAACACGTGTGGAAGCTGTTAATCGCCGACTGCGAAGCACAGCTGAAATACAGCTCTGCTTCATCCTCTCAGAGTGACACGAAGCAGTACCTCTCAGCAACGCTACCCAGAGAAACCCCTAAGGAATAGGACGCTGCATTTGGTGTGGAGGTCGAAAAGAATGAAAGACAACAAGAGGAGAGAGCAGAATTACTGACCTGCGGGGCGCGGAGGTCGTCGGGCGGCTCTCCAGGGCCGGCGCTGTCGCTCGGGCTCCGCTTCCCGCAGGTTTCCCCGCCGAGCGGCTCCTCCGTGGCCGCGCTGAGCTGCAAGGCGGGCGGCAGCAGCCAGGAGCCCTCGGCCACGGCGCGACCCGGCGCCACGCACAGGTTGTAGGAGTAGGGCAAGGTGCCCTCGCAGAAGTCGGCCGGCACGGCGGGGCCCGACGCCGACAAGCGCCGGGCGCCCAGGCAGCGCAGGACGGCGGGCGGCCCGGCCCGGCGCAGGCGCGCCAGCAGCGTCACGGCCGCGCTCAGCAGGAACGCGGCCGACAGCAGCGCCAGCGCCAGCACCAGCGAGAAGCGCAGCTCCGCCGGCGGGTCGGCGGCCGCCGGGCCCTCGCTGCCCAGCTCCGGCAGCGCGTCCCGCACGCTCTCGGCCAGCACCACGTGCAGCGTGGCCGTGGCCGACAGCGCCGGCTGCCCGTGGTCCTTCACCACGGCCACCAGCCGCTGCTTGGCCGCGTCCCGCTCCGACACGGCCCGCGCCGTGCGCACCTCGCCGCTGCGCGCCTCCACGCGGAACAGCGCCGGCTCCGGCGCCCGCAGCAGCTCGTACGACAGCCACGCGTTGCGCCCCGCGTCCGCGTCCACCGCCACCACCTTGGCCACCAGGTAGCCGGCCTCGGCCGAGCGCGGCACCACCTCGAACGGCGCCGCGCCCGCGCCGCCGCCCTCCGCCCCGCCCGCCGCCGGCCACAGCACCCGCGGCGCGTTGTCGTTGCGGTCCAGCACGAAGACGCGCACCGTCGCCGTCGCGCTGCGCGCCGGCGTCCCGCCGTCCCGCGCCCGCACCTCCACGGCGAACTCGCGGCACCGCTCGTAGTCGAAGGAGCGCAGCGCGTACAGCTCGCCCGTCTCCGCCCGCACCGACACGAACGCCGCGTCCGCGCCGCCGCCCGACAGCGCGTAGCTCACGCGCCCGTTGGCGCCCGCGTCCGCGTCCCGCGCGCTCACGCGCAGCACCGGCTCTCCGGCCGCGTTGTTCTCGGGCACGTAGGCGCTGTAGGCGGCCTCCTCGAACACCGGCGCGTTGTCGTTCACGTCCGACACCTCCAGCGCCAGATCCGCGCGGCTCGACAGCGCCGGGCTGCCCCCGTCCGTGGCGATCACCGTCACCCGGTGCTCGGACGCCCGCTCCCGGTCCAACGCGCCAGCCGTCACCACTTTGTAGGAGCCGCCCGACGATGCCACGATCTGCAGTGGCGCCTCTCCAGACAGCTCGCACCGCACCCGCCCGTTCTCGCCGGAGTCCCGGTCCCGCACTTTCAGCAGCGCCACGACGGTGCCTGGCGGCGCGTCCTCGGGCACCGGGCTCGACATCGACAGCGTCGTTATTTCGGGCTCGTTGTCGTTCTCGTCGATTATGTCGATCTGCACCTCGCAGTGTCCCGTCAGCCCGCCGCCGTCCCGCCCCTCCAAAACGAAGCTGTACTTGCTCCTCTCCTCGAAGTCCAGCGGCCCGGCAATTCTCACCTCGCCGCTCTCGGCATCGATGCTGAACAAGGCGCGGACGCTCTCCGGGACGTTGCCGAAGAAGTAGGAGACCCGCCCATTGGAGCCTGCGTCCGCATCTGCAGCTCGCACCTGCAGCACCAATGATCCCACCGGCAGATTCTCCCGCACTTGCGACTCATACGCGCTTTTGTTGAACACGGGCGCGTTGTCGTTGGCGTCACTCACGTTCACGCGGATCTGCACACTTCCGGACCTCGCGGAGTCGCCTCCATCAGTTGCTGTTAGAACCAACTGAAAGGAGCTCTGTTTCTCGCGGTCCAGAGCTCGCTCCAGCACTAATTCGGGCTGCTTCTTTCCTCCTTTGCTCACCTTCATCGCCAGAGAGAAGGACGAGTCTTCAGAGAGCTGGTAAGTAAGCAGAGAATTGCTTCCCACGTCCGGGTCTCGGGCCACCTCCAGCGGAAAGCGAGCTCCGGGGAGGGTCCACTCCCCGATCTCGAGATCCAGAACTGCCTTGCTAAACGACGGGGAATTGTCGTTGATGTCGTGGATGGCCACTTCGACATGGAAGATGTTGAGCGGGTTCTGCACCACCGCCTCGAAGCTGACGGCACAGGACGCCAACTCGCCGCACAGCTCCTCCCGGTCCAGCCTCTCGCTCACGTACAGGTTCCCGTTCTCCCCGTTCACGGCGAAGTAGCGCTTTTCCGAGCTGAGCCGCAGCTGACGCGCCGGCAACTCGGCCGGGCTCAGCCCCAGGTCCCGCGCCAGCGGCCCCACCAGCGAGCCTCTGCTCAGCTCCTCGGGAATAGCGTAGCGGAGCCGCTCCGGCGCCGCCCGACAGCAGCAGCAGCACAGCAGCAAAGCGAGCAGCAGCCCCTCTCCCGCTCTCCAGCGTCTCCTTCGCCGCCCGCCCGCCATTGGAAGCAGCGCTCGCCGCTCTCCTTCCTCCTCCCGCAGCGCTTCCAGCTGAGTTCCGTCCGTCCCGAGCTCCGATGCGGCCCGAACGCAGAGATGCGGGCTCCGGTGCCGCCGCTGCCGCTCTCCGCTTCTCTGCTGCCCGCTGTGAGCGGCGCCGTGTGAGCGAGCAGCCAGCGGGGACGGGAAGCGGCGGCAGCGGCGGCCAACAGCGGCACCCGGAGGCCCCGCGGTGCCACCGCAGCCGGCAGCTGCCTGAGTTCCAGAAGCAGCGGCGCAAAGAGGCGTTTCGGTGCTTATCGCTCCGCTCAGATTCCGCCAGGAAGATGCGGGAGGTCTCCGCAAGAGAGAAGGTGGAGGAAGGCTTAGCAGAGCAAAGCTTTTCTCGCTCGGCCGTGTGGGATTTCTGACATAAACTAAGGAAAGCTCCGGCTGGTCCCCGAGGAACACTTGAATATGCTGGCAGGACGCAGCGCTTTTCCCACCATTTTCTCGTGTTTATCTCCCATAGCACATGGAAATGTAAGATTTTAACCTTTAGCTGTATGTTACTGCAGCATCTCGGTACGTTCCGTGTCACCACTCGAAAACTCATGCATGGATTATGCCAACAGAGAACATCACTAACAGATGTTCAGTGAAACGGGCACCTCGTAAAGGAAACATTGCCCAGCCAGACACACTATCGATTCACTCCTCAGCAGTTTCAATGTTATCTTTTCTCTTCAGTGTTGCCCGTGCATTTCTGAGTTGGCCAAATGATAACCACTGATCTTTCATTCTGCATTAAAGACAAGCAAGAATTTTTTCCTTTTTTTCCAGTGTCACTTTAAGAAATAACGTTTACAAAAACCTCTGCTTTTGTAACTGTAAATATTGAGGGTAGGTGTAGGATCTTCAGCCCCAGAGAAACAACTGGAATAGATACGACCTTAGGAAAATCATCAGAACCACTGAGGTCCAGGTCATGGCAACAAGCAAGTCTGGGAAATGAAACATACAGCTAAAAAGGAGTGTGGTAGAATAACATTATTTAGGAGAAACTTACTTATTAAGAAGGAAATCGAGGTACATGGTACCACCACGTTACTAATGGATTAACTGAGAAAAATTAGAAAACACCATCCGCTTTTCTATGCTCACACAGTCCCTATGACTCCACCAACCTGTAGGATTGAGTTGGACATTCCTGGTTAGAACAAAACGTTTCATAAAGGAATGATGCACCACGATCACATCAGAATCAAGGGCATCTATCTTTCTGCCCAACACCTTCCTGTGGAGGAACACAAAGACCTGAAAGTATGGGTGTTACATAAGGCCAAAGCAAAAGCAGAGTGCTCTTATAGCAAAAACTGAATGTCTGCAATGGGAGAATCTCATTTCCCCTTTAAGCATGTGCTGTGCCCCACACAGATGTGACTTCTGCCACTCCCACAGTAACCTTACACCTCCTGCCTTCCATGATAGCCATTGTGCTGGCCAAAAAAAGAGCCTGGAAACGTCATTTCCCATGAAGATCAACCTCTATGCTGTAAGCTTACAGGGAGATATGGAGGAAGAAATGAGATTTCACTCAGGAATTAAGCCGTTCCACCCATGTACTGTCAATGCACACACACAGTTTTGTTCAGTGATTTTATTATCAAATGACATGCTGTGTTTCAGCACAGAGAAGCCAGGATCGTAGCACAGCAAAACGGCACTGTCCCTAGAGTTAAGGCACCTCTCACAGCTTCAGTTCCTTTCTTCCATGCTCATGATTTGCAACAACATCTCAGCAAAGGAACAGCTGAATTGATCATGTGCCAGTACAGTGCACCAAAACCACACCGTCCTCATGTCAGAACAGAGGTACACTGCCCTGCAATTTAGGAGAGCATAGTAATGCTGCAAGGAGAATGAGATCCCCCACTCCTTTAAGCTCCCGTACTGCTCCATACATGCTCCTTTTCTGCTAAGGTAAAGTTTGCAACTGATACTCTGAAATGAAAGTGGAATACAGCACAAAATAACCTTCACAGTTCTGGAATTCCACACCAGCTGTAACTCTGTGGGAATACACAGAGTGGCCGAGGTGAGCAAGGCATGTGAATACAACACGATGTCCAACAATGCTATGCTGCTACTTAGAGCTCAACATACACCCGTGTGCTGAAAGACCAGGAAGAAATACCATCAGACAACCTGCACAAGCAAACGTTAAGGGGAAAACGTGGCAGAGAAATGACCATGAAGGTGTTGTGGTCTTCTCTGATGGTTCCAAACTTCATTCCCAGAGCACCTGGAACTCACTGAGGTTGTAACCTGAAAGCAAGACCCTAAAGCTTTCTTCTGGACTACGTATTAAGAGATATCATTTTAAGAACATTTTGGCAGCTTTTTTTTTTTTTTTTTTTTAAATGACCTTCACTGTTCATCTCTGATGAATATGAAACTGTAAATGTAAATACCTTAACATGGGACACTTTCTCATGTTAAGTCTTCTGATAAACCATGAGAGATTCTGTTCTAGCTTCTGTTTCATTTTTATCACACATTGAATTCTGAGCTCAGGTGATAGAAATGTTGTCAAGAGACATAAAGGTTCACTGCAATGCAATCCTGGAGTTTTGAAATGTCCAAGTCCTGTCCACGAATGGAAAACATGGAGCACAACGGCCCTCGGAACAACAGCCTGAGAACAGAATCAGAGCTATGAAGAGAAATCTAATGTTACAACTAAATAAGAGCATATTTATGAGAACTATAAGATGCTTCAACACTATGTAGCTATTACAGAACAATTTCATAGTCAGAAAATTATGGCTATCATTCAAGCCAATGAAATGACATGGGTGAAATGGTGCATAGGTACTGCAAACTTTGGCACTAACTATAAAATCAAAGTTGCCCAAACAATATCATTGCTGGCACATCATTTTCCACCTGGAAAACGAGACACTCACCATTCTTGGTCTGTGTGCACAGCCTTCAGTTGCTCCATGGGCAATATGCGACTTTAAGCAATTTGTCACCTACCAGCAAGAGTACAGTGATATTTTAAGGAAACATTGGTTAATCAAAGGCTTTTTCCTCCTAGTAGTAAACATTGAAACTATGCATGGAAACAGCTCCACCAGTTCCACAGTTATTAGCAGATTGACAGACGTTCCAAATTTAAAGGTTTCCCACACTGAGGCCTAGTTTATGCCTTGACAACAAATAAGGCAAAAACCTGAAATCTACAGAAGTGAGGGACACCACTGTCACCCTTCAGATCTCATTCTTCAATCTCACCAAATGCTACGCAAGATGAAATTCAAATGATGCACACATTGCAGCTCTTGCCACAACATATACCTTGGAGCAAAGCCTGTACCATTTTTGAGAGACCAAAGTTCAACAACTCCTCTTTCCTCCACCAGTTTTTCACACACAAAATACCAAAGAACCACACCACAGAATACCAACACTACTGTTAAGGTTGTCTTCAGTATCTCCTGACACTAAATGGCACCAAAGCAACAGCTGCCCAGCCCATTTCCCCTCCATGTGCACAAAGACCATTCCATGAGTGGACACATGGACATTCCTTCTCTCAATAAATCAACACGTAGAAAGACATTAAAGAGCTTAAATAAATAATAATATAATAATATATATATATATTCCATACCTATATGGGATCGTTAATGTTCTTCCAGGGCAATGTCACTCTACACATCAAGCATATGCTATCATGAAGATATCTGAACTTGTTAACAACACAAAGCATAAGATGGCAGGCAAAATGGGATCACAATAGGAAGCACACAAATAAAAGAACTGTAAGTTAAACCCAATCTTATGGGCCTCCTTCTGAAATTAGAGGTTCTGACAACCCCTACAATATTCCTAGAACCTCATTTTCAACCCATTCACGGGCACACACATTTATAGAGGAACCCACATCCCCAGCAGACAATCTTATCATAAACTCAACGGGAAGAAAGGGGAGGAAGGTGTTGTGAAAATGAACGAAAATCCCAGGGAATGAAGATAATCTAAAGGGCTCATTACAAATTAGGGGATTCAAATTCACCACAGTCATACATTAATCGTTATTATTATTTTAAACACAGCAGAGGCTTAATGGCCACAACATATCCAGTTACATGTGCGATTTCAGAAGGGCCAGGAGGTACCTAAGAGCACTGTCTGATGTTAGGAAGGAGCACCACAGGATGCGTGCACACTCTCAATTAAAAACCACCGGCTCCACTCAACACAGACAAAAGAAGACCGAGGGCCCATGACCGTCAGCGTGAGATGAGAAAGACTGAGAAATAAGGGTTTCACGGCCTTACTGACCTGCGGGGCGCGGAGGTCGTCGGGCGGCTCTCCAGGGCCGGCGCTGTCGCTCGGGCTCCGCTTCCCACACTTTTCCCCGCCGAGCGGCTCCTCCGTGGCCGCGCTGAGCTGCAAGGCGGGCGGCAGCAGCCAGGCGCCCTCGGCCACGGCGCGACCCGGCGCCACGCACAGGTTGTAGGAGTAGGGCAAGGTGCCCTCGCAGAAGTCGGCCGGCACGGCGGGGCCCGACGCCGACAAGCGCCGCGCGCCCAGGCAGCGCAGGACGGCGGGCGGCCCGGCCCGGCGCAGGCGCGCCAGCAGCGTCACGGCCGCGCTCAGCAGGAACGCGGCCGACAGCAGCGCCAGCGCCAGCACCAGCGAGAAGCGCAGCTCCGCCGGCGGGTCGGCGGCCGCCGGGCCCTCGCTGCCCAGCTCCGGCAGCGCGTCCCGCACGCTCTCGGCCAGCACCACGTGCAGCGTGGCCGTGGCCGACAGCGCCGGCTGCCCGTGGTCCTTCACCACGGCCACCAGCCGCTGCTTGGCCGCGTCCCGCTCCGACACGGCCCGCGCCGTGCGCACCTCGCCGCTGCGCGCCTCCACGCGGAACAGCGCCGGCTCCGGCGCCCGCAGCAGCTCGTACGACAGCCACGCGTTGCGCCCCGCGTCCGCGTCCACCGCCACCACCTTGGCCACCAGGTAGCCGGCCTCGGCCGAGCGCGGCACCACCTCGAACGGCACCGCGCCCGCGCCGCCGCCCTCCGCCGGCCACAGCACCCGCGGCGCGTTGTCGTTGCGGTCCAGCACGAAGACGCGCACCGTCGCCGTCGCGCTGCGCGCCGGCGTCCCGCCGTCCCGCGCCCGCACCTCTACGGCGAACTCGCGGCACCGCTCGTAGTCGAAGGAGCGCTGCGCGTACAGCTCGCCCGTCTCCGCCCGCACCGACACGAACGCCGCGTCCGCGCCGCCGCCCGCCAGCGCGTAGCTCACGCGCCCGTTGGCGCCCGCGTCCGCGTCCCGCGCGCTCACGCGCAGCACCGGCTCTCCCGCCGCGTTGTTCTCGGG